CTCATTTGATCAATGTAGGTTTGAACTTTTGTCAGAGATAAGTATTGCTACTCCTGCCTGTTTTCGGGGGCCATTGGCTTGGTAAATCTTCTTCCAGCCTTTCATCCTAAGCCTATGCTTATTTCTGTCAGTGAGATGGGTCTCCTGTAAGCAACAAATTGTTGGATCTTCCTTTTTAATCCATTTCATCAAACAGTGCCTTTTGATGGGGAATTAAGTCCATTAACATTAAGTGTTAGTACTGATAGGTATGTGGTGATTCCTGTCATTTAGTTGTCTTAGTTGTTTGAAGGTTTGATTGTGTGTACCTAATTGAGGTTACTCTCTACTTTCTTGCTTTTTCTTTTCCTGTGGTTTGGTGCTGCCTGTCTTTTCATGGTTATGTTGGGTTTCACTTTCTGTGTGCAGAATCCCTTGAAGAATCTTTTGTAGTGGTGGCTTTGTGGTCACATATTGTTTTAGTTTCTGCTTATCATGGAAGACTTTTATTGCTCCATCTATTTTGAATGATAGTTTTGCTGGGTAGAGTATCCTGGGGTTGAAGTTATTTTCATTCAGTGCCGGAAGATCTCACCCAAGCTCTTCTTGCTTTTAATGTTTCTGTTGAGAAGTCTGCTGTGATTTTGATGGGTTTACCTTTGTATGTTATTGTTTTTTCTCTCTTACAGCCTTCAATATTCTTTCTAGTTTCTGAACTTGTTGTTTTAATGATGATATGTTGGGTAGTTCTATTTTGTATCTGGTCTTTTGGTGTCCTGGAGGCCTCTTGCATCTGTATGGGATAGATTTCTCTAGATTTGGGAAATTTTCTGTTATTATTTTGTTGAATATATTCATTCCCTTGCTTGCACCTCTTCTCCTTCTTCAATGCCCATGATTCTCAGTTTGGTCTTTTGATGGAGTCAGTGAGTTCTTGCATTTTCTTTTCACAGGTCTTGAGTTGTTTAACAATAGTTCTTGGTTTTCCTTTAATTACCATTTCATCTTCAAGTTCTGAGATTCTGTCTTCTGTTTGTTCTTTCTGCTGGATTGGCCTTCCATTTTGTTTTGCATTCTGTTTCGTTTTTTTTCTGAGGTTTTCCATACCTGAGTTTCCTCTTTAATGTTGTCTATTTTTGTCCTGAGTTCATTTATCTCTTTATTATCATGTTCTTTGTTTCACTTTGGTGTTTATACAGTGCTTCTATGGTTTCTTTATTTCTTCTTGTGCTTTTTCAAATTCTCTATTTTTGTTGTCTTGGAATTTCTTGAGTGTCTCCTGTACATTTTGGTTGACCCTATCCAGTATCATCTCTATAAAATTCTCATTGAGTACTTGTAGATTCTTCTTTTAGATTTTCTTGTGGGCTTCATTGGGTTCTTTGGCATAGTTTATCTTCATTTTGTTGGAGTCTGGATCTGAGTATCTGTTTTCTTCATTTCCCTCTGGTTCCTGTACTAATTTTTTGCTGTGGGGAAACTGGTTTCCCTGTTTTTTCTGTCTTCCTCATTGTCCTTGGTTTGTTACTGTCCCTGTACTGTGTGCAATTAAGTATTTTCTAGCTTGTAATAATAACAATGGTGATTTAGAATGGAAGGTGAGAGAGATGGAAAGCAAGAAGTTAAAGAAAAAGGAAAACAAATAAACAAGAAACAAACAAACAAACAAAAGTTCAAAGATAAACAGGGAGTTAGTGTACTAATCAACAGTAAGCTAAACAGCATATTAGAGACAGAGAGAGGATTAAAAAATAAAAATAAATAAAATAAAAATTAAAAAAATCTCCAAGTTCAAATGCAATAAAAGTTTCATCTTAATTAATTTTGGTGTTAGTCCCTCAGCCCCAATCCTGGAGATGGTGTCTCAGAGTAGTCTGTGTTGTCTCATCAAAGGGGAAAAAAACCAAAAAAAAAAAAAAAAACACACAAAGTGTCCCAAGTTTCAAATGCAATACAGTTTCAGTAAGTTTTCAGCATTCAGTGTAGTTAGGTTGTTGTCTCATCAAAGGTAGGGAGAAAAAAAAAGAGTCTAAAGACAAAGCTTTTGTGATGCATCTGAGGCTGGCTCACCCCCACGTCTGTCACCTGCTGCTTGCCTGCAGGCTCTTTGTTATGCAGCTCTCAGCGTGAGGCTTAACAGTCACCTGGGCCCCCACAGGCTTTGTTATTTAGATTTTCCCTAGGGTGTGGACCAGCCCACTTGTTACAAGCTTCCCTTCCAGGCCACACTGGGGAGGTGTGCTACACCTGCCTTCCCAGCCGTTGGTTTACTTATTCACAATGGGAAGTGACACGCCCCCCCATCCGTTGAGTTTTCCTCCCTATCTGCCACTTTACAATAGTTTCCCGGCTTCCTTGGGTGCTGGGCGGTGTGGCTGGCGCTCCTGCCTTCTCCGAGCTGGCCTTGTTGTGAGGATTCCCGCTCCCGCACCCGTAGGTGCTCAGGGCCAGTCTCCCACCCTCTTTGCCTACGTTTTTTTTTATTGTTATTCAGTTTGTTTTTTTTCTTTTTTCCCTGTGTGGGTGGTCTGTCCAGGGGCTATTTTTGCTGAGGCTGGTCCCAGGTTTGTGCATTGGGAGTACTGTGTGCACTTAGCTCAACTCCTGTGGTCTGCTTTCTCCCAGGCCAGTGAGGCGCTGGCGTTCTGGCAGCATGATGAGCCCTCCTCGTTTCTCCATTTAATTGGGAGTGAGTATGCTATGCATGGCCTGGGGGTGTGTGGTGGTGGAATTTTACCTCTTCTTGGTTGGTTTTTCCTGCAAGGTGTTCTCCAGCAATCTCTCCAAGATTTTATCATTAGAAGCACGCTTTCTGCTTTCCTTCCGTATAGTTACCATCTTCTACGCCACTACCATCCACCATTATTTTTAATGAGATATTGATCTATGCCTTTAGTTTACCTCATCTCTTCTTTATATCCATGATTTCATAGCTTAGTCTTTTGCACGTCCCATTCATATTTGCGCCTAATGTCCTTTGTCTTTTCTGATTGATCTAATTCCTCTGAATTTTATCTTTAATCCCTGATACTCTTTTTCGTACTTGTTTTATTTCTATCAGGTAAGACTTTCCAGTTGAGCTTTTTATTTGGGTTTATTAAGATTTCATGTCCAAAAGATTTCGATTTGTTTGTTTTTTGTGCAGAATTCTATATGTTTATGAAATTCTTTTTTCTTATCTTGTATTGTCTTCCTTATTGTTTGGAATGTTTTGTTGAATTTCTCTTTGAGTTCAGTCAGCTATGTATTTTTATGTTC